AAAAAAAAAAAAAAACTTGTGCACCGAACAAGCATACCTTATTTTCCATGAGTAGATGTAGCGCCAATTCTCTGTTTCTTCCTGGCCGTGGAACTGCTCTGCTACAAGCCAACAGTTCGTATGCTTCTACTTAAATGTATAAAAATTTTAGCAAAAAATATTTGGAAACGATAACACAAATGCAGTGATGAAAGATGCAAGGAAGGAAGATGCAGAGTTTAAGTTTCACTAACTGAGGTCCAGATTGTACTCACTCGCGATTTTATGTGCAGCCCATTATGATGAAAAATGCCGAAACGATGCGGTTATTTTGGACAAATAAAAAGTTTGAACTGCGAGCACCACTCTTTGATGAGCAGCGTTCACAACTTTATCTGAGGCAACGAGAAACTGCAGCATACCGGCAGAATCCTCTAAATGATCGATAACATTGCAGTCGAAAACGGCCTCATCACGGTCAGGTATTGCATCACGTTCTTCGTCAGTTATTGCACGATCAGCCCATTTCTTCACTTTTGCCTGATAATCCCTTCCACAGTTTATGTGGCTGTAAATTGAATGTTCCATGTCTAGCAGAGCATATAGCAGCTTATCAGCTTATAACAAAGCACAGTTAGGCCTAGGTGCCAATAAGCTTACAAATTATAACTGTCGCTCTAAAAGTCACGCTCATCTTCCCCTTTTCTCACAAAGTGTGGTACTACCGTACCCCTTCATAAAATCTCCGACATTTTGGGAACACACAAAAAGCTTTAATACCAAAACTTACGGTACTGCGTCAGATGCGGGAGCGACACAAACTTCATCAGCAAAATCAGACGACGACGAGACCTTTCTGACAGCTTCACCATCCAGTGGTACTGATAATTTCCTAAAAAGTACCGGTAATATATTTAAATACAAATTATAAGCGTACACTTAAAATAAAACTACTAAATTGAAGGAAAAATCAGACGATCACACTCGACTCGCTTATTTCTTTCCCAGTATAGCAAGCTGGGTGAGGTACTGTGTTATCAGTGAGGCCAAACTTTTGTTGGTAGCTACACTCCGTGTAAAATCATCTGCAGTTTTTAACAGTTCCAGTTAGCTCTCCGGCTTTCTGAAGCCTCTAATATTCTCAGTTAACATGGGCAAAGCCCAAACCCTGGTTAAAAAATTTAAGCTGACTTTTGCGTGTACGTTTTCTGTCAAGTGAAGCAAAAATCCGCAGTTCTTGCTCGAAAACCCAAATTTTCGGGTTGAAGCCTGACTCTGCGGCAAACAAACCAGGTATTATTTGCATTTAAAAACAGCCAAATCCTTTGACAGTGATGGCCATCGCGTCAAGCGGCGTGAGCTTTTTAGGAATGGCAGATTTTCATTCAACGGGCCCTTATTCAAATCCTCCGATCAGCTATTATTCCACCATCGCATTTCTTTTTGCCATTGATGCAGCTGGAAATTTCGCCATTCTTTGTTTTGAGCCACATATCATTTTTTTGCAGAGTAGCCAGCTCATCT